ATTTCTGGCTTATCTCTCAGCTGCTCTTTGGCAATAATAATGTAGACATTTCATTTTTCTTATTCATAATCATAAATTTATTATACATATTCTAATATTGTCTAGGCTCATATGTAAATTGAAATTTTTGGCAGATGATAGTTTTCATTTGTTTTCAATGCAAGCGTTTTTTACAATTTTTTCCATTAATTTGTACAATATCGCGCATACATCCCAGTACTTTATAATTACATACATCCTAGAAAATTTTCTTAACAAATTTCAGAAAAGATTTATCAAAATCCGCATAATCGTTTAAAAGGAGTATACAGTAAGTGCTTGTAGTTTAATATGAACTTTATATAATAGCAATAAAGCTCAAATTGATTCTACGTTTTAGTTAGAAAACGTGTGTATGAGTAAAAAAAGGGCTGTTTTTAGGGTTTTCCCGATAATTATTCGATTTTTTCTCGCCGTAGGAACCATCCTTTGACATCAACAAACATTTAAAAAAGCAAATTGGCCAAATTGGTCCAGGCGTTGTTGAGTTATGCGCTTACCAACACATTTTGCAATTCGTTTCTATATATAAGATGATTTGAAAATTGAGAAGGTTTCTTTCTTTAAAGTTTTGAATTTTGACTTTTACAATAGAGTTAATAATAAAATTTGAGTTTAATATACATATTTATATTAAATCAAATACTTATGATTCATTTATCAAGTGATGTGAAAACCATCCCTTTCATTAAAAAGTTCTAGATCTTTTTTTTAATTTTCATAATTTTGTACTTTCAAAATTTACATCACCTTTATGGTCTTTTTGGTATTTACAAAATCACTTATGCAATTTAGAGAATTTATAATTAATAGTTTAATTGTTATTATTTAACAATCAATTATAAATACATTAATCAATTGAATTCAATGAAAAGATTCAAGATTTTTATGTAGCATTTTTACTAAAATAAGATTAATGGACTTGATCGTGATCAAAACTATATAACAACTACTAGAACTTATGGAATATTTACATTACATGCATTACATTTGCATTACAAAAAAGAGACATATCACCTAAGAAAATGAATAAAACCACCAACTAAAAATCATAGTGAAATTATATTAGTTATCGATCACATATCCATATTGTAATAACTATTGGTTACTTATCATTATTAAACACAAAAATTTACAAGGACTGCATTACAATTCATGCATTTATTATAAAATAAACTTTAATAGTTATTTACTTCGTCTTTCTAAAAAATATCATAAGACGTTACGTTTCTTAACTTTCTGTTCTAATATAATTTCCACAATTTTCTCGAAAATTCTATTTAACTCCATGCTTTCTTCTATTTGTTCTAACTATAAGTAAAGAATTATAGTTTTCAATATTGGCCATAAAAGTTGTAGCTCTAGCCCTTAGTCTATTAGAGGAGCGTAATATCGCCGCACGGTTTCGCGTTACTCGCCGGGCGCGCGGCCTTGGGGTCGTCGGGAGAGAAAATCAATAGCGCACTCCCAGACTCCGACAGGAGCACTACCACCGCGCTCTGAACGACACTTCCCAAAAAGTGGGGCGGGTGGGCGGTGACGACACATCTCTACCCCTATAACACGGGGTCGGTATTCATATATAGGACGTGGGACTTTTTTATAGGCACAGAGGAAAATGTAGTAATATACACAAAATGCAAAAAATAATAACGTTTTTTTTGGTTTGCTCAGCGGTGGCAAAATTGATTCAAACGTAGGCTAGGACAAACTAGTTCTGAGTTTGCTGGTTTGATTCCTGCCACGACCAAGTCTGATAACAGGAAGCTGTGATGTCAAAGTTCCACTTATAGTAATAGATCTCAAATATAGCTCTACATAAAAATAGACTTTAGGGAATGGCTGCATATAATCATAAATGGCAAAAAACTACTCCATGTCATATGGTATTTCACTATGTGGATGTGCTAGTAGGTCCAACGTGAAAGTAGTCCAAAGAACTCAAAACAAAACTTTAAGAGCAATACAATAGTCAATGCACTTTGGTACCTATCGTACGACACTTTTCACAAAGATTTAAACATACGAACCGTGAAATAAGTAATCCAGAGCAGAAGCAATTCATACCATATAAAATTAGACCAACATCCAAATGCTTCGACATCCTTTCTTCTGAAAACGCAGAAGGCTAAAAAAAATGCCAGAATGCCTACTAATTTAATTTAAACACTGTTTCTTTTACTAACACAGATCATTATGTATCTACAAGGGAATCTCCTCAGTGGAGACTTCTGAATGACATATTTAATGGGTCACATAGGTTCATAGAAATTTGTCGTTCTGATTGTCTATTTGTCTTTCTATTGTCTATTTAATGGATCACATCGGCTCATAGAAATTTGTATTTCTGATTGTCTGTAATAAATAAATAAAAAAGTACTTTGAGTACAGTCAATTATTCACAATTGCACTGAACAACTACTGGTTTGCAATCCATTTAAAAGGCCATATACTAACGTCAAACCAACTACTGAATCTCCTAGTATGATAGATTGTAATTATTTTTTTTTGTAAAAGTATAACAAAAAATATTTTTTTTTGTTATCTGTATAATAATAATATACATATTTTTTCATTTTTAGCAGGATATCTAATTTTCCAAGTGCTTGTTTTCTAGATGTTTCAAATCCTTTTAAATTATTCCGAATCATTTGACTCAACATGGAAAAAAGTATGAGTGTGGCTATGTATATGCAAATTATGTCTTCTAGAGACTTGTTCTCGAAAACGGCTGTACCAATTTGAAAAGCTTAGAGAATTTAATGAACGAATGAGTGTAAATTTAAATTTATTTTTTAACATTTTGGAATAAAATAATAAATTTATTGTTAACAACTCGTGCTGAGCAGATTTTAGTAGTTATTCATTACTTATAAAAAACTTTTACTCCTTCTTAATAATTAATAATAATTTACTTCTTCTTAATAATTAATAAAAATTTTATCCTTCATAATAAAGAATGTCTTAATAATAAAAAGTTTACACACCTAAATTTGCATAAATAATTCTGTTAAAGTTAAGATAGACAAGCATAAAGCTCAAATTTCAAAAGCACAAAATTTTGAGTAATTTATTGAAATGAAAATACAGTCTAATAATAATAGGTTTCTAATCAATATATGTAAATAACTTTTGAATGTTTTAAAGTTACTCTGAGTACCAGTTACTGTCAACCTTCAAATTTACATTTGATTCAATTTCAAATAAAATTTCAAAAATATGAAACAAGGTGTAGATAAAAATTGTCTAGTACTTTTCAATAAAAAGGAACGTAACACTACAAACTTTATAAATCATAACTAATCATCAGTATATTTACTAAAGTCAAAAAATATTGATTCTTTCAAGCCTATATAATAT